CTGTCTCTGTCTCTCTCTCTCTCTCACACACACACACACACACACACACACACACACACACACGCATAAATTGAGGATGTCATGAGCACATACCGGTGTCTTCCATTACAATGTATCTCCTCCCAGAGTTATTTGTCTTTTCCCACTAGAGAGAACCCCAGCTCCTAACAGTATCAACATTTACTCATTTGCTCAATCCTGAAATGTATCTAAAATACTTTCAGAATTGCTTTGCCTGTACTACTATGTAAGCAAACCTAGTAAAAAGAGTGGGCAGTTTGTAATTCTTTCCCTCATGCCCAATACTGAAGGTATATTAGTCAAATATTGTGTTCATAAGTTACATTAGTTCTTTCTTTCATCCTTCCTTTTTCCTTTCCCTTCAGTGTAGTTATGTTATTCTTTTGAAATAAAATTTGGCTCATTTGTTTTCACTTGCTTTCCATTATAGGTTTCTCCTCATTCCCATTCTTTTTGTTTGTTAATCCTCACCCAAGGATATTTTTTCCATTGGTTTTTTAGAGAAAATGGAAGGGAGAGACAGAGAGAAACATTGATGTGAGAGGGGCACATTGATTGGTTGCCTCCCACACACACACCCCAGTCAGTCCCTATCCGTCCCAATTCCAGTCCCAATCCCAGTCCTGATCCCAGTCCCGATGGGGGAGGAACGCGCAGGGGGAGTGTCTGTGGGAGAGTCTTGCGCCCCTGCAGCTGCGTTAGCCACCTGTGAGCTCGGCATCTGGCACCCGTCGGTGAGCCTGCAACCGAGGTATGACGTGCCCTTGACCAGAGTAGAACCCAAGACCCTTCACTCCACAGGCCGGCACTCTAACCACTGAGACAAACTGGCTAGGGCATCATTCTCATTCTTTCTGGGTTTGATTTTTTTAAATTATTTTTATTGATTTCAGAGAGGAAGGGAGCGGGAGAGAGAGTTAGAAACATCACTGAGAGGAGAGAATCATTGATCGGCTGCTTCCCACACGCACGTGCCCTCCCCCACCCCCACTGGGGATTGAGCCCACAACCTGGGCATGTGCCCTTGACTGGAATAGAACCAGGGACCCTTCAGTCCACAGGCCAATGCTCTAACCACTGAGAAAACCATCTAGGGCCCCATTCTTACTGTTTTAATTTTATTTTTTGAAGTGTATAATATTAACATGCTCTCAAAATTCAAAACCATACTAAAACTTTTAGTTTTATTTCCACCTTTTATTTTTAAGGAAAAAGATATATAACTAGAAAAGGGCATTTATTATACCTGTGTTCAGTTTTGTTGTTATTATTTAAATTAAATTTTGTCTATTGAGATGAAGATTACAAGAAACTTAATTTTTGGAAACATCCTTGAGTCTCAGTGATTTGTAACTTCGATCCCTGGAGACAGACAGTGGCTCTGAGTGATTTCTCATCCCAGCACGCAGAGTTATGTCCAGTGTTCTCAGTAGCAGTCACCCCAGGCTGCGGTGATTGGGTAGGGGTGGGAGTGCAGGAGGGGTGAGATGCTTGCTGAGGGTTAATGAGAGCATTGCAGCCTCCCAAGTATACTGGTCAAGGAAAATCACAGAGACTCCTGTGGCACAAAGACCAGTGGCTGTGCAATGAGACAAAATATCAGGTAAGCAAACACAAACAATTTAGTTCCAGATTAGTATAAGCAAGAAGAAATACCACCTTAGTGCCTTAGCTCTGCTGCCTCAAAATGGCCCTTCCCTTGTCTTCCCACAAAGGTGCTTGATGGGAATTCAGCAGCAGGTCTGAACAGTCACACAAGTAGATGATTTATGCCCACCCTGTATTTGCCATTTCTAATGTGTCTATCGGGTTTATAAATCTTTTAATGCAGGATTCCTCTCAGGCACACCAGCTATAATTTAGCTGGTTGAAAGAACTAACAGTGTCTTCATGGAAGTGTCATAATATAGCTGTGTTTTCTCTCTTGCCACAGCCTTAATACAGATACTGGCAGCTGCGGTAGCTGAGCGGGATGTGGTTTATTTCACCTTTGGGGACTCGGAATTGATGAGAGACATTTACAGCATGCACACTTTTCTTACCGAAAGGAAACTGACTGTTGGTAAGTAGGAGACAGTCTTGACACTGCTATCCAATGGATTTAGGAGGAGCGCCTGCCAAATCTGGATGGATCACAGTGAATAAGAAAAAAATCAAGTGTGATTTTTGAGGAGGGGAGGCAAAGTTTTAGAGAGGCGTCATTGGTAGGATCATTGTTTTCTGGCAAAGTGTCATTCACAGTTTTGAAAGGGTATATCATCTTATTAAAGTAAAGGCTAAGAAGCTGGGGTTAGTGTCCACTTTTATGTTTGTGTATACAGAAAACTAAAGGAAGGAAGCGTAGGGGGCAAGTTCAATCCTGAGAAGCCTCATTCTGAGCTCTGCTTAGCAGACATGCCAGCTTGCTCACCTAGTATTTCCGCTGGGCAGGAGAGGCCTTGCTGCCATGGGAGCCCAGTGCAGAATCAGAGCTGCTTCAGACTTCAGCGGGTGCGTGGATAATGTGCGACACACGGAGGCAAAGTAGTTTACAGTTGTCGGATGGAAAATAGCACAGTAATTAATACATAATAATACAAGAATGAACTCTGTTTCATGTACCCACAACTGTAAACTTACTTTTGCCCCACCCTGTATATAGCCTGTTGGAATCATGAGCTAATAAATAGTTTCTTTAAGGTATTTTTAAAATTTTATCTTTATGTCAGGAAAGCCTTCCAGGCATATGAAATTTATACTTTCTTTTCAAATTTAAACATATATTAAGATAAAACTGAGTGTTGTTTAGTAGTTTCATCCATCTATATATATATACCTTAATGTGCAAATTGGTCTTGCCCTTTACTCCCCAGGAGAAGTATATAAGCTATTGCTACGCTATTACAATGAAGAATGTAGAAACTGTTCCACCCCCGGACCAGACATGAAGCTTTACCCATTCATATACCAGGCCTTTGAGTCCTGTGCGGAGACCACCAACCAGCCAGGACAAAGGACTGGGGCCTGAGGAGCGGAGTGACTAGAACCGCCTTCCACCTCCTCGCAGAAACAGCCTGTGTGAATTGTCAGGTGTAACATATGAACTGACTTAATAGAATGTGTGTATAATCCACACTTGTGTGCGAGGATGCCATCCCTTCTCCGCGTATGCAGTTGTCAGTTTGTACATCCAAGTCCCCTCCATCTGGACTTGTGTAAACTTAGATATATATTTTTTTCACTTTTCCTGTTTCAATCTCCACTCTGATTGTTCTTCCTTTTGCCCGTCAGATTTCTTGGGAAGTCCCATGAAAGGGTGGGCTCATCTCATCAGGTCTCTTTTTTGATGCCTGTGTATTATACCAATGGCCTCTGTACCACAGACCCAGCAGCGCCAGGGAAGAAGTTGCAGTCCACGAGTCTCTTCAGCTGGGTCTGCTAAAGCTCTCTCCAGAGGCCTCTCATCCCAGCTCTTGTTAAGATTACATTGTCTGAGATTTTGACTTTAGAAAACTAAGAGCTGGGCTTTTTTCATTCATGTTATATAATTCAAATCTCCTAAGTTAATACAGTTTTGTATTTAAGACAGAATAATTTCCAGAAATACCTATTTTGAGACATCATCTTTATCTGTTATAGTTTTTCTGTCCTTTTTTCCCTCATCAATTTTTATTGATAATGGTTATAGAAACTGACCAAGATGGAAAAAAAGGTAGAATAAGAGAGAATTTCCCCAAATGATGCTTTAAAAAACTAGATTCAAGAGAGTTGAAGGATTTTTTGTTTCTTAGGATTTTTTTTTCTTTTTAAATTAGGATTATTGTTTGTTCCTTGGTGCTTAAGGCATCATCATACAACCAAAGTTTATGAACTGGGAACTTAGTGCTGATTTGTTCATATTGAAGTTTCTCTGGTATTCAAGGTTATATGGTTAATAAATTTTCATTAACAATCATTTGTCAGAAACTCTCATTATCTATATTTATATGTAATATAAATATATCTTCTCTAAGTATGTCTGTGCAACCACATAAAGTCTAAATAAAACTGGAGTTGTGGAAAAGGATTCCGTTTAAGCTTTATCAGGGCCTCTGTTTCAAATCTTATTTACAGTTGTGTCCCTTTAAAACTGGCAACAAACTAATAATGTCTTAAGTAAAAACCAATACCAATTCTGTGTTAATGGAGAGTAGAGTTTAATCACAAAAGCATTTATTTCAGTTTCTAAAATAATTGTAAACCATACCATAGAAGTTCTGGTTTATAGTCAGTGTCAGGAAAAGCTATTGGAGGTAAAATCCTAAAAATGAGGAGTTTGGGTAGATGGTGTCAGCATTGGCAGGGAAAAAAGGGGGCTTGGCCAATGTCTGTAACTTTTTTGAGAGGTTAATGGATTTGGAACCTAAAGGCAGCCACTTACTATTAACCAAGTTCTTTGCCATAGTAACTAAGATTTTTATTCATCTCCCTAGATCTGAAGTGTCTGGCTGTATTTCTGTTGATACTAGTTTCCTCTTTCCTCTCTAACCCATTCTATGCTTTGGTAAACATTCATAGTTATATTTTATTTCTTTATTCTAGCTCCATATTTTTCCCTTCTTACCCAGCCCCAAGACTAAGTGAAAAGTTCTTTAAAACACTGTGAAAAGTATAGGATGATTTATGTGAGAGCTAAACTGTTATATCCAGCTAAGAAGTCCTCCCATAGATTATAAAACCTTTATTTTATGTACCATTTTTTAAAATTACTGCAAATTAGAATACGATATTCCATTAATTTTGTAAGTATTTGGATTTCAGGTGTCACAATATGAAGAAAAAGTTCATTTTGGAATTAATGAAATATGGTATCTGTGGAATAAATGTATACTCTGAAATTGTGCTTCA